TTTTCTACCCAAGGTCAGAATCATTTCAGAAAAGGAGTCCATGAAACAAAGGCAGTTTAAGGACAATGTAAGTCATCAAAATGCAAAATGCATTGTTTGTAGAGCTGGACCTCACAGAAAACAGTGGACTGAATGTTCCTGATGCCCAGCCAAACCTGTTCACAACTGTTTTAATTTAACATAAAGCTCAGACCCACTTCGATGAGTCAGGGGTCATCTCCTGCAGATGTTTTTCATTTAAAATCTAGGACACTGGGCACATGCTCGCTTATGACCCAGGCTGCATTTTTATTGTATTCTAAATTGTTGACAACTTAAATAGAACCATGCATGCTGGCACGCTTGCAGAGTATAAAGTCTTTAATAGGCTGTAAAATGAGTCAAAACATCGTGTCTCATGGAAGATTTGGACATCCTCAGACCTGCTCGTTGTGAAGGCCTGTTGGTCTCCCAGAACTTCTCTGGCATGGGTGTATCCAGATAGCCCAGGCTCTGCTGCAACAGTTCAGTCCGGATGATTTCAGCCTGTTTCTCATTTGTTCTCGCTCCTTATGTAACCAAAACCACAGGGTTTGTGTATTATGAGAAATGGGTGGAGAGACAATTGAATTCTGACTGAAAAACTTAACGCACACAAGAACTTAACTGATTGTGTTTTTATAATTTTAACTGCATCCCCATTGACTCTCATTTACCAAAACACGATCAGCTGTTGAATCACTAGCAAAAACAGAACAAAGATTAAAAAACATTAAAGTTCCTAAGGGTGTTACTCTGAAACCATGGTTTTTAAACTGTGGTTCTACTACAACCAGTGGTAACAATTACAAGTTATATAACAAACTAACTAACTAATAATCTAAACTGCATATTTTATTTTGCTAATAAAAAGATCAATTCACAAAAAAATACTGTTCTAGTGTTGTAGAATTAGTGCTTTGTGTAAATACACAAAAGATTTTTGTTTGTTTCAGTTTTGCATCTGTACGTGAAAAAATCTTGAAATGCCACCTCTGTGTTTTCATGTAGACAGCTGAAATGTAATAGATGATGTGATATCTTTGCTTCTAATCTGACCTACACCCTCAGGGTATCCTCCTCATCTCGTTGTGATTACATTTTTTTACCTCAACATTTAAACTTTATGCACATGCTCCACACGTTGTTTCCTGTTTCTGGTATATTTCTGTGGCATTGTTACACCGCCACATGCAAAACTGGCGTGGTTACTACAAAGTTTTGGTAAGTTTTCTATTTTTGTTTGGATGAAGATATTTCTTGAAACAATATCGTGTTTACAAGGATATTTTTTTAACCGAAAAATTAAAATTTTATGGAAAAACTGCATTTTTCCTTTCAGCTGTCGCCTTCATGCTTGCTCAAGCTGAGAGTTCTGCGATGGAGTTAAATTCAATGCAGTCTGCTCTTCAGATAAAAATGGTTCACTTATTATTTTTATATATTAATGTTTCTGTTCAGTGCCCTGAGATGACTTCAATTGTGACTTGGCGCTATATAAATAAAATGAATTGAATTGAATTTCTGAGTGGACAAGGCCTAAGTTGCATCTTGTGAAGCCTTTGTATACTATTTTGATACATTTGCTGTTGCACATTCCTTAAATGGAACGGCTGTGGCTGAGTGATTAGAGCAGTCGTCCTACAATGCAAGAGTTGGGGGTTCGATTCCATCAGCAGTCACATGCCAAAGTGTCCTTGGGCAAGACACTGTAACTGAACCCCTCATTGCATGAATGGGTAAATAAGGGCACTGATTGTAAAGAGATTTGAGTATCTTGATAAGATAGAAATATGCTATATAAGTACAGTCTATTTACCATTGAAACATGCTTAAAATTCAAGCAAGACTTAACAAATTAAATTGAAATATCTTGCAAATGTTTCAAGACATTTTGGAAACCCCCCAAAAATAAACTTTGTCACTGCCCAGTGAAGAACTGGTTATAGCCAACACAAAAACTGCTTCTACTTTGTCAGATTTTTAGATATTGAAATAAAATCTTGTGTGTGAGTAGCTGATAGTCATCTACAAGCGGGGTGCGGGTTTTTTTTTTCATTATCAGGGTCTTTTTTTCTCAGCCAAGAAGAGTTTGATAGGATTTTTTTTGCCTCCAATTTCCTACCTGTGTTCAGTTTCACTACTTTTTGTCTGTCTAAATAGATCTCACTTGTAAATGAGTCTTTGAGGCTCAATGTGATTTATTTGTCTAAATAAAGGTTGAATGAATGAGCTGTAGGCATTTCTTCAAGGCATGCTAGTTTTATTTGTCAGAAATGATTCTAAACTTGTAAGCTTGTATTTTAATGTCCGCCTTAATGGCAGTACTTGCAGAACTTGGTGTTTTCTGAGGAAAGTTAGAACCACCACTCACAGGGTAACAAGCAGATCTAGCTTTTACCTTTGAACCTACCACTCCAGCAGTGGTGCGCTTGCTGGTGTAAACCTTCCTGATGAGTGCCATGATGGAAAAGGAAAGCTGGTGTAAACACCACCACCCCTGTCTGCCAATGTTTTCTACAACAAAGTATTAGAGCTGCTCAGAAGAAACAAAATGAGGAGGAAGAAGATTAAAGTGGAAGATTTGCTGACAGAAAAAAGTGGCAACGTTGAAAAAAAGTTATCTTTCAAGATCTAACAAGGTAGTCAGGTCCTCTGGATGGATTCTTTGTTGAAACATTTCATCTTCTATCCAAAAGTCTTTTTCAGTCTGTGGAGCTGCAACAAAGCAGAACCTTCTCATAGTGGATCAACCAATTTGCTGGTGACATCCAGAAGTAGCTGTTCATATGTAAAAGGAGGACCATCAACCTAACGATCATTAGTGCCCTAACAGTTGGTCATTAGTGCTCTGATGGCTGCTTGCTATTCACAGCTGGTGAAGGTGTCAAAAGGTAAAATGATGGCCCAGCACAGAAAACTAACATAATCAGACCAGGACTCTGCAGTCTACATTCATCTGCAGGCCAGCGGTCACTTTCAGGGATGAAGATGTGCACATCCTTGACAGAGAGGAACGTTGGTTTAGAGAGGAGTAAAGGAAGCCGTCTTTGTGAAGAGAACTCGTTCATCTTTAAAAAGGGCAGGGGTCCACGTGTTCAACTGCCGTCTGTGAATAGCAAGCAGCCATCAGGGCACTAATGACCAATCGTTATGGCACTAACGATCGTTAGGCTGATGATCCTCCTTTTACACGTGAACAGCTAGTTCTGGCCGTCACCAGCAGACTGGTTGATCCACTATGAGAAGGTGCTGTTTATAAGACTAAGTTTATTGTAGCGCCTCAGATTGAAGAAATCTTTTGGATAAAAGACGAAATGGTTCAAAAAGAAGAATCCGTCCAGATGACCTGACTTAACCTTGTTAGATTTTTCTACCTGGATTATTGAGCGTGAATCAGGACAATCTTTCAAGATGTGCTCCTTAGCCTGACTGTATTTGTTTCATTTATTTTTAATATAGCTGAGGGTTATGAGTGTACTTTTACAGTGTTAAGTACAAAATAACACAATGTTTTATTTGAAGCAGTCTGATCTGTTTATTATTGACCTTTTTTCAGGAAATAATGTGCATCAAAAATCAAGCACCATGCCCTCGTAGCAATTTTCGATATTCAAGGCGTTTAACTCACGTTTTGGTCCTTTACACCTGCATTTTATTGACCTTTACATACAAACATATTTATAAATTTGTTGTATTTGTATTTTAAGATTATTTTTATATGGTTAAAGAACTGGAAGTAGGCATGAATTTATCTAGACCACAATGCATCGTAATACTCGTACATATACTCGTATACATCGTAATACTGACTGTACTATACAGACTGAGCAGCACATTGACCAATTTACAATTACTAATGCACATGCACAAAGTCAGTGTTTTGTGATGCTTTAAGAGTCTAAATAGTGTTGTGCCTGCTTCAGGATTGTTGAAACAACTACCTCAGTTTTAGCTGTGCTCTGCATTCATTCCAACACCTAGGCACATTACACATCACAACATAAAATACAAATAAAACCATTTCATAATACGTTTTGTATATAAAACTCAATAAAGAATCAGATGTAAAGAACCAAAACAATGAGATAAAGGCCCGACCAGAAACAGCTGGAACTATTTGGAGGCGTGGTGCTCGCTGTTACGCATGCGCATTAGTAACTGTATTTTAATCCTTCACAGTAAGAATTGCAAAAACTGAGTATTGACTACCAAATACGCTCAAAACCGTTGGTGGTCTACGCTGCAGTATACGCTATACTCAAGAACACTAATATAAATAATTTTCATATGCTTTAAATGTGTAGAGATTTTTTTTTTTAGGTTAGCACTCAGTGTATGAGTTTCAAAACTCTTATTGTGAAGGATTGAATTAAGTTCCGCTGAAGCGACTGGTTCAGCTAAAATAGTACTTTATTTTTTAGTTTACTCAGTAAAAGTGTATCCATGATACTTGGATACAATACAGTAATAACAACAACAAATGAAACTAATTTAATCTAAACTTCCTCTCTTCAGTTTTCTTCTGAGTGACGGTCGTAGTTCACTATCAGTGAAAACAGAACAGCTCCAGGAATGGACTGTCCGTGCCCTCCTCTCGTGCCTCCCAGCTGCACGTGCCTGTAGCTCCTCCTCCTTCTTGAACTCCTCTCGGGTGAGAGTTCACCTAACAAGTAGTCGTTCTGTACCGGGAGAAGAGTGTGGTGGAACGGGACATGAAGTATGTGGAAGAACCGCCACAGAGAGCCGTCTAACACGGACTCCTCCGCCGCTGCTTCCCGGCACGAACACGAGGATTTAACGCGTTATTTCGTGATTTAGAAACGTCTTTTCCCGGTGCCTTTTCCTCTGAATATTTCGACACGGACCTCTGCTGAAGACACCGGGTTATTCCTGTTTGTTCCTCCTCCTGTTCCCGGAGAGCATCATGGCAGTGTGAGGAGTTTGGAACGGTTTCCTCCGGCGGTGAAGCCCTCCTCTCCCCCCCCGGGATGACCCTCGGTACGGTGGCCGGCGCGGACAGCCCGTCGGCGGTCAGCTTCTGCTCCTGCTGCGGGGCAGAGATGGTGTCCAAGAACCACATCAACCAGCTGTAAGTTCGTTACATCCAGCTTTACAGTAAACAGAAGGGACGACTCAGAAAGAGTCCTTCACTTCTACTTTTATTTTAAGTTATAAATCAAAGTTTGAAACCGGCTCTGAGTTCCCTTTTGTTCCTGCAGTTTTGCAACATGAGGGCTGAATGAGTTTCCAGAGATTTAGCAACGAGTTACTCATCTTTGCGCTTCCTTTTGTCCAAACTAAGTCAAACATGTCTTCACGTCCTGTGTGAATCATCCACATGACTTAATAAAAGAGCTGGCACATGACTAATACTTCCTAAAGTTCAGTGTTTTCCATCCGGTTCCTCGGATCAGAAGATTTATGTGTTTTTGGTCCTGATGGTTTATCTTAAGGTTGGACCCCTTTCTGTTATTCACTGTTTTTGGAAAAACAGATGAGAAGTGAGTCAAAACAAAAGGAAACAAGTCATGTGTGTCACTAATAAATCATAAGTCTTTCCAGGTTTCTAAATCCTCCACGTTCTGGTGGTTATTTGTTATAATTCAGTGTAGCTATAGCTGCAATCTTATCCACAATCCTGCTGTGTCAGCAGAGATGTTTTTTCTTCTTGTGATGATGTGTAAAAAGATAAAGTTGACCGGTCCATCCTTCAGAACTGATCCAAAGCTCTTCTGTTCGATCCTGGACCTGCTCTGATAAGCTTTGCAAAGTCCGAGGAAAAACTAAATAAATCAATGCTTCTGGGCTTCAAGCTGAGTTGGTGTTTTTTTTTTCTAAATGAACATGAGCTGATTTAGTGTTTTCAGAAAAATGGAGGGAGACGTGCGACTTGGTTGTTATTTATCTTCTGTTTTACGCACGTGTCCCTTGTTTCTAAGAAAATCCTCTGAAATGTGAGTTTGATTAAAGATATTTTATGGGGACCCATCATCTACTGTAAACCATACGTGAGGATCTGGAATGAAACATTGTTATGGTAGTTGTTTGTTGTTAGTATAAATGGACTAATCATTTTAACATTAGATTATTGTGCACTCTGCGGGGCCTTGGCCACCTCGGACCAACAAACGGGCCCGTCTGCTGCTGGAGCTGCTGTTAGCTGTAAATACTCCATGCCTGGACCCTCATGGTCATCCTGCCAGTTTCACCCTCTTCCCCTCCAGCTGCGTGACGGTGTTTTGTTCATGTTTTCCAAGGAAAACAGAGGAATAAGGAAGTGAGGAACATGTTTGTGTCAGACGTTCAGAAGCTGGCCACTACGTCTGCTTGTTGGTGTTTGTTGTGTTGTATAATTTTAATAACTTTGTTTATATTACGCCTGTTTGCGTGGTAACTGCAGTAAAACCAGACCTACGACTGCCTCACACTCAGGACTGCTGGCATCCGTGTCACTCAGAGGAAGTTCTATGTTTAGTTTGACCCAGTTTGTTCCCTGTTATCTCCCTTGACCCGTTCTGTTCAAGTGTCCCTTTCTCACACACTAGACTTCATAAGTGCTTTCTGGGTTGTAATATCAGTTTTCTAGTTTTTATTCATGTTCAGGTGGATGCATGATGCGGTACAGGGTCTGTTCTGGTCCATCAGCTGCTGACTTTGCTAACGGCACTTTTTTCCTGCAGCAGGCCCCAACATGGACCCCTGAACACCCGCTAACTCCCCGACCTTCCCGTGGGTTGAATCTGTCTCGGGTTCAAACTCATAAGGCCTTAGCGGGCCTGCCCTGTATAGAACCACCAGGCCCTATATTTATCCCGCTCTCCTCTGCAGACTGACTAATATGGGCACAGGCTGGAGGAGGGGGGGCCCAGATCTCTGCCCACCATGCAGAGTGGTCCTTACATAGCGAGGATTGTGTTGGACTGCTGCCCTAACAAGTACCTACAGCCTGACTTTGGTCCAGAGTCGGAGCTCGGGCCCGGCCCGTTCTCTGACTGGGTCCAACTGGGTCTTCTTTCTTTATCGGTCTGACTTTAGGGCCCACCTCCGTCTCACCGTGGAGTCTCATTTAACTGAACCTGCTGCCCTCCATACTCTGCTTCACACGACTCCATGTTTGTTTTGGCTCGATCCGCTTAAAATATATGTTTTACTTTTTAGGTGCGATTGTTAAAAATTACTCTTGTATACACAAAAAGTAGTTCATCGAGGTGTTGTGACAAATTAATCAATTAATTATGTTTAAAGATTTATTTTTTTATGTAGAAGGTGCAGCAGCTCAAACTCTAGATTATTCTCCTGGTTTATAAGTTCTCTTTTTGTTCATAAAATAGAAACCTGTGTTAGTTAAATAACCGTACAACTGATACACGCCGATATTAAAGGAAGTGTTGAGACATGTTGACCAGCCTGAGGGTGGAAAAATAAATTCTGACCCGACTGACGAGCTAGCAGGATACGAGCCGGGCCCAGATGAAGCTGTATCATTTCTGTTTCAAACCAATCCGGTCTACAAACGTTGAGTACATGTGACGGCTATTTGATCAACTTAAAAGCAGAAATGGCAGCAGCAGTTAGCTGTGGCACTCATTTGTGCAAGAATAACCGTGTTAAGGTTCATGACAGTGAATTAGCATGAACTGATTTATATTTGAGTTGAAAGTTTCTCCACCGTCAGTCTGCTTTCAGTACACCTGTCAGTTTTCTACAGTTGTTGCAACAGAAATGTTATGGAACTCCCACAGGAAGTGCTACAGCTAGCTGCTGCTAGTTGTTTGTAAGTAAAGTATTCTGTATAAATAACTGTGAAGTGAAACTGACTGTGACATAAAGGTTGATAAAATAGTGTTTATGAATCCCTATAAACCTTTGAGATTGGAGTTGAAAAGGTTCTGGTTTCAGCCGTCTGTGTGGGTCTCCGGGTCCAGAACCCCTGGATCCAGGGCGTCTCTGTACATTATGTCGACTTTGCTCAGATGAACAGTATCAGCAGCCGAGACTTTTAAAGGACTCCAGTATTTTTAGCTGCTGTATTCGAGGGTCAACCCCCCCACCTCTGCAGCAGTCGGGCTTACGTTTCCCTCTGTGTATTTCTAGGTGCAGGTGTAAAAATGTTTCCTTCAGGCACGTTTGTGGCCCTCCGTGGCATTTCGTTACACGCATTACCCAGCAGCTCGTTTACACACAGGCGAGGCCAGTTCATTAGTCAGCATGTGAGCGCAGTGGGGGGACGGTGCAGCAGGAACTGGGGGGACACCAGGAGTCAAACGTAGGACAAAGTTGTGAGAAATCCGGAATAAATGAGCGACAGTGGGGGAGAGCGAGAGGAAACAGCTGGGTCAGGGCTGGCTGGGTTATGGGAAAGGAGCCGGGGTTGTTGTTGCTCTCGTGCGTCTGTTTTCTCCTGATTCTCTGCAGAACTCAGGAACTGAGAACGAGGACGGCAGGAAGCCAGCTGACAGGCAGCACCGGCTCTTTTAGTCGAACTTGATGAACTAGAGTTGGGCTCGGAGGGTAGATTGATGAAACCCACCGACAAACGCTCAGTCTGTATTTTCCAACACGCCTTTTATTATCAAAATAAATAAACATCTACCAGATAAGTCAAATATCGTGACTTTAAAAGCGTTGCACAGTTTTTTTGTCATCACCTACCTTTAATGAACTTCTGTGAACTTCATACGTACACGTTTTATCCTGACCCCCCAGGCTGTGAAACCACGTTTTTTTTGTTGTGTTTTTGGCAGAACTGGTTGGTCGACTTCGTTAATCTGCGTTTCCTCTTGTTACAGTAGCTGTGCGTGTTAAAGACGAACTACGCTGACGTTAATCGTCATGACATTTAAGCTCCTGAACACATCTCATTCTTTGTACTAATACACTCTGTAAACATTCTTTAAATACTGACAAATGTTCAGCCCCCCCAGCTAAAAAAAAACTACAAGAAAATGAACAGAGTTAACATGTAAATGAGAAAGTCAAAAGATTTCCTTTAAAAAAATATTGTAAATGATGCCAAAACACAAAGTGACCTAGTTTTTGACCTTTATTTGGACCATAATTTGTCAAAATAAAGAACAAATAAACAGGAAGTGATCTTGGCTGCAACAATAAAATAAACTGCTTCATCTGATCCAACACATTTCTAACAACTCCGTATTATTTTGCTATTATTTTCAGCAGTGAGCGTTTTAATAAAGAACATTACAGTCTAATCTGTGCAAAAATTCTAAATATATGCAGCCGTAAGGCAGAAGTGTATTTATTTAGTGAGTTATTGATCATTTTATCAGAGTTTGGGACTTTGTGTTTTTCACTGCTGCTGATTTTAAAGTGATTACTTTCTGTTTCTGGTAATTATCAACCTTTTTTTTTTGTAAAAGCTCAAGCAGTTAACAGAAGTGATTTGGCTGCAATGTTTGAACTGTTTCTACTCCTCACTGTAACGCCAACAGCCAGGTGTCGTCCTCTTTGTCTTCTTTGGACCTTTCCGCTCTGAGGAGCAGAGTTAGCCTCGCTCAGATCTAACGGGGAGATCGACGTTCACCTCCACCATCGATTCGCTCCGACAATTTTAGCTCGCTCGTTGTCGCCTCTATCTGAGTCCAGGAGTGGACCCAACATGAGCCATATCATTCAAAGTCCAAACATTAGTTGCTGAGATACAGTCTGTGCTTTAGAAAACCGTGTTCAGTTTGTCCCCCGTCGTGGAGCGAAGAGGGGTAATTAAAATACCTCTGTCTTACCGTCTGTGTTGTGAGCTCGATGACTGTGTGTGGCTGCATCTAGGTGGAACAAAGGGCACTATCAAAAATTGGGTTGCCATGTCAAAATCCAAGATGGCTACCACCATAAATATGTGTGTAAACCAACCAGCTCAATCATTTGAGGAAACTATGCTTTCTACGGTAGTTTTTATATTATTTAAAAGTATTTTTTCTTCAAATGTTTGGGGTGAACCGCTTGTTTAAAGATCCACATTAAACTAATTATCCTGTGGGAGTGGTGGTGCAGAGGTTAGAGAAGGTGGGCCTGTGATCGAAAGGTTGCTGGTTCAACTCCCCATTCCGACAACATCAAAATGTAGGTGGGAAAGGTGAAGCACCTGCCTCCACCCTCATTTGCTCCACTCTGGGCCTTTGAGCAAGGCCCTTAACCCCCACCATCTGCTCCCCCGGGCGCCCTAGATGGCAGCTGTCTGCTCCACACAAAGGGCTGTGGTAGCTCGGTGGTCTCTGGTCATGTCAGGAAGAACATCCGGTGTAAAAACCGGTCCAAGAAGTCTTCGTGCGAATGAGTTCGCTGCGGTGACTCCTGAAGAAGGGAGCAGCCGAAAGAAGAAAATACCTTAAGCTAATTGTCCTGACTGAAGCTGCTCACATATCTCTGCCTGGATACAAGTTTCTGCTGCTCAGTCAACACGGCCCGTGTGCTTCAAGTACAGGGATGGATTTTTGTTCTTGTTCTGTTCACTACTTCAAAGTGAAAGTGTGAAAAGTGTAACGTATTAGCTTCATGTAACGAATCAGTAACGGCTGTAAAAACTGAACGACGTCATCATTACTCACAGACTCCACACAGGTTTAAACACTTACTTCAGTTTTCTTAAAACAACCCGTTTGATTGTAAAGTTGTGTGTTGGCCAGCTCTTATCTTCACCCCCCTCCCCGGCAGCTGTTTGAGTGTGAGTGTAATCCAGCTGTGGAGGAGCAGAGAACATTGTGTTCTGGCTTCACGCTGCAGCTCGGGTCTTGTTTTTGAACGGGTCGCTTTGACAGCTCTGGTTTTGGGAGCGTGCAGCCACAGAGGAGTTGAATAGAGCATTGTGACCCCCACGTTCTTACACACACACGGCATGCTTGTTTTGGGACAACATGGGTACAACACGTGCAAAGAAGGGACTCCTAACGTGTTCCATTTAAAGCTGGGTTACACCACAGACACCCCGCCACCAGTTTATCAAAGTCTCATTGTCTGTTTTCTCTTCTGTCCCAGCATCAGCGAGAGCTTCCTCACAGTGAAAGGTGCAGCCCTGTTCCTCCCCAGGGGGAAGAGTCCCCCTCCGAGCTCTGCTCCGCGGATCAGCCAGCGCAGGAACAAGCACACAGGTGAGGACTCGTACCGACACACCTGACTGTGATGTCACGTCAGAACAGATGAGGAAGCTTCAGTGATTTTTACCAACACCAGAAGAAAAATGACAAAAACAGGACTCTGTAACATTTTACACTACATTTTAAATTACACATTTACTTTATTGTACTGATAATTTTTCACTATATGCCATCTCAAAGAGCACCAGCAGCTAGCTGTTGCACTTCCTCTTCGTCCTTTATTTGATTATTTCTGCTGTAATGACTGTGTTAAGAGCATAACAAAAGTTTAAATAAAGCTGATTCCCAAACTTTTCAACTTTTGACCCACAAAATAACGGTAGCTTAGCTCGTGACCCTAAATGTAAATGTTGCCAGTTTAAGAATACTAACTTTAATGTCCCTAAACATAAACTTCAACTACTAAGACACTTTTGAATATTTATTTATTTATTGTAATATTTATTAAAATCTGCCATTAGCAACATTTTAAAAACTTTTTTCTTTTTTCATTCATCTTTTATTTATACAGGTAGTCTCACTGAATCACGAGAACTCATTTTCAAGAGAAACCTGTTTTTGGGAGCAAATGGTGGGGGTTAAGGGCCTTGCTCATGGGCCCAGAGTGGGACAAATGAGGCTGGAGGCAGGTGTGGGTGTTTCACCTTTTCCACCCACATTTTGATGTTGTCAGTCTGGGGAGTTGAGCCTGTGACTTTCCGATCACAGGCCCGTCTTCTCTAACCTCTGCGCCACCACTCCCCTAAAACATGTTTTCAAAACATTGTTTTTCTGGGGACCCTGACTTAAGTTGATAACCTTCAAAGGGGTCCTGCCCCCACCTTTAGGAACCACTAATTCACTGTAAACCATCACTGTCATCTTTGCAGCGCACAGTTATTTGGGCAGACTATCCTTGAGCCCATATGTGTCACACTCAAGGCCCGGGGGCCAAATGTGGCCCTCGTTGACATCTCATCTGGCCCTCAAGATGTTATTTTAAATGTAAAATACTTTTATCACTTTGATTTTTTTCAATATTCGTTGATTATGATTTCAAAAGTGCAACAGAAAACATCAAATGAGACCAATCAAACTCTTGTTGAGGAACCTGTGACCAAGAAAAGATGCTGGTATCTAACTTGAGTTAATGTAGATTCTGAAACTGGCCCTTAGTTTGAAAACGGTTTTAATTTTGGCCCCTTTTGTAAGTGGGTTTGACACCCCTGCTTTAGCCTGTCAGATTTAAAGTCTCGTCCAAAGAGCTATGCACAACAGGTGAGATATTTTATTGTTTACAACCACAATAATCAGAATCATAATAGCATAAAATCTCTTTAAGCTAGGTCTTAAAGGAGACTATTGTGCTGCGGGGGAAATGACGCACGATTTATTGTTTTCTGTCCGTTTGTGACTCAGACTGTGAAACTGAAGGTCTGAAAAGTTTTTTCTTGTGTCCAGGTGACCTCCAGAAACATCTCCAGACCATGTTCACGGTGCTGCGGCCTGAGGACACCATCCGACTGGTCAGTAAAGTTCTCCACACCCTCACCTGAGCAGGGTAGGATCTGAGCAGAGCCCGTTCACTCAGCTTCCTGGTTTCAGTTCTTTGTTGTGAAGCATAAAAGAACTGAAACTTGGCTGAGTTGTAAAAACACGTCTTTTATTTGCTCCTATAATAATACCCCTGGATTAAAACCAAGGCTCAAAGAAGTGGGAGTTGTGAGGATTCTTGTCCTTTCTCTAAAATTCAAACTAAATCTATAATAAAGGAACTTTCAGTAGAAAGGTCCAAATGTAGAAAAATTCACTGAAAACCTCACAGACCAACTCCAAACCTTTTCTTTATGTCAGCATTGTGTCAACAACTGCCCCCGAACAAAACCTTTGAAAGACAAGACTCAGTACAAAGAACACGTTGTTCAAGTCGCTCCGTTCCCACATCTCACCTGTTCTTGTTTTTCCTTTGTGCAGGCGGTGCGTCTGGAGAGCGCCTACCCTCAGGTAACCCGCTACATGGTGGTGGTCTCCACCAACGGCAGGCAGGACACGGAGGAAAGCCTCGTCCTCGGCATGGACTTTGTCTCCTCTGATAGGTCAGTCCACAGCAGGAGCACACAACGGTTCACTGGAGTAGAGGCTGCACCGTTTTCTTATAAAGAATAAAAGTGATGTTTTGTTTTTTCTGTGGTGGTAAAAACAGATGTTTAGACAACAACATGTCAGGCTGAGTCGTCATGACTCGTTTCTTTAGTTGTTTTGACGTCGGCCTCAGATTTCTTTGTTTCATCGATGTGTCCCTGCAGCTGCTGCTGCTCTGTGGGTCTGGTTCTACCTCTGTGGAGTGACACTCTGATCCACCTGGATGGAGACGGGTAAGACACCACCCTCCTACCATACTCCTTCTTACAGCGCCGCGGGGCAGCTGACTGATCTCAGAGCAGTTTGAGGTGATTTACGTCTCGTTTCTAATCTGTCACTCTGCAGAGGCTTCAGTGTGTCGACGGTGAACCGGGTTCACGTCTTCAAGCCCGTGTCTGTCCAGGCCATGTGGTGAGAAACCTGCCTCACATTTTACACCATATGTTCACTTTAAACTCCTTTATTTGATCACATCCTTACCTTTACTTTTATTTTCCAGTTTTCCTCGCTCCTCCTCACACACACCAGTCTTCTTCATGTCCTCATTTTCTTCTACTTTTCTCCCCCCGATTCATCCACACTTTTACTGTCGTAGTATCTCCCCACGTAGCTGAAACGACTCCTCGTCCGGGATTCAAACACTTGGTGAGGCTCATAAACGAAACCTGTTCCTCTGTAACCGTCAGGTCGGCTCTGCAGTCGCTCCACAAAGCCTGCGAGGTGGCTCGCTGCCATAACTACTACCCTGGCAGCCTGTTCCTGACCTGGGTCAGCTACTACCAGAGCAGGGTCTCGTCCAGCCAGTTCTGCATCAACGAATGGAACGCCATGCAGGACGTGGAGTCCCACCGTGCCAATTCACCCATCCTGTTCACAGACCTGTGAGTACACACACACACAGCTCTGAGTTTAGATCCATAATGTGTCAAGTTTCTATGGAGGGAATGCTCTGACAAGTTGTCAAATCACCACATGTTATCCCACGTTACATAAAAAGAATAAGAGCTTTCTTGTTTCCCATTGCAAAGAGGGTGAACTGGAAGTGCCCTCCGTTCGTCCGTCCTTGCAAGCACGACAACATGAAAAATAAGTGAGGTACCGACTTCCATTCCGGTGTCGCTACATCTACACGTTCCTTTCAACAGTTGTCACAGTAAATTCAAAGATAAATAACAACATGTATACCAACTTCCCCCATCATTTGAGGAATCTATGCTTTATAGATTTTTTTAAATGCTTAAAAATATATTTTCCTCAAATAATTGGGGTAGCTGAATATTCATTTATTCAATTCAGTTCAAAAATACTTTATTAATCCCAAAGGGAAATGAAGTGTTGTTGTAGCTCTTCATCTGGTTTCATTCAAGAGTTGTTAGATGCTGATAGCTGTGGGCAGGAAGGATCTACTGCAGTGAGTTCGAAGAATGGTGCCCATTGCCACCAATGGCCACCCCCTGGATCCATTCTAGAATATCTTGCACCAGAAACATGAAGATTTGCATTCTTTGTTCAATTCCTGTCCAGAAAAGCACTCATCTTAAAAACTTCACTGTTGAAATGTTCAACTTGATGTATTAAGCTGGTCATTGTTTTTTTTTTTTTGTTCAGATGTATTTTGCAGTGAGTTCAGTTTAGCGTGACTGCAGGGTGAACTCTGCACCTGACGAGTCAAACGGAGCACATTCTTGGATCGCAGATTCACAGAAAGCTAAAGGGGGGATTCACAGCAGCTGCGTGTATGCTCGGTGAATAATATTGCTGCTTCTTCGTAGCAGCGAGGCCTAACATCTCCCAACGCTCGGACGGTGTCATTATGTCTTCAGAAAAATTGTTGTCGACCACCTGCCCGTCAGGCGCTGTGTGGATCAGGCAGGAGCAAAGAAAAACCTGAAGAAAGGTTTAGATGTTCAGATTTGTAACGTGTCATCGATACGTCATCAGATTTCCAAAGAAGAGTTGGAGAGTGAAGGAACGACGCAGGATTCCTGGATTTATGTCTTTACGAAGAGTTGGGAAATTCCCCCTGAGCTGCTCCAGTCACATGGTCCACTACCTATTTGGAGCGTCTCACACACACACACATACTTATGAAGTGTCCAAAATAGCTGAGGCTTGAGATACATTTGGAAAAACTGAAATGCAAACAGACTCACGGGAAGGTAGACGAAGACTGGGACGGACAGAAGCAGGTGGCAGAGTGAGTGATGGTGGGGGTGGTGGTTCGTCAAGTCAAGCTCTCACACACCTGATCGCCTCGAATGGAAAGAATGGAGTCGAGTCGGGTCAGAAATAGTTCCTATAAAGCTGACAAATAAGACCGCTCTATATTTACTGGCTGCCAAGGTGTTTAAGGTGTGTTTGCCCTTGACTGCTCTCATCTTTTAAGATTACGTGAAATGTTTTGTGTGTTCCCGTTCGTTGGGTTCACGGAATGACTGCCAAAACTCCTCGACCTGCTGCTGTTCTGTTGACACATCGCCACTTCTTTCCCTGTAAAAACCCTGAGGCTGGTTTCTGCTGTTTGCTATATGCTCTTTACTGTTAATGCCTGCAGGCCCTTTATCTAACTGCTGTTCGAGGAAGTGGCAGAAAATTTCCACCTTAGTTTACTCATTGGCTCCACTGCGTGTCGTCTGTACATTCACGTTGTACCGTCTGTTTTCCTCCTGCTCTGTTTCCATGCCCAGCCGTCACTCAGGCTGTCTGCAGACGAGTCGGGGCATGTTGCGAGGTTAAAGTATCACCTCAACTCTTCCTAATAGTGGAAGGTGTTTACTTCCTGTGGTCATTAAAGTGTTCAGCGTTTAGATAAATGCATATTCTGTCACATGTTGCTTTTAGGTTTGCAGGAACTCCTTTAAAATCATCACACTTTCCATTTTGTTGGACTTTTGACCCCCACTGCTGTGTAATATTAAGCTGCTGAATAAGTAGATAAACAAAAGGAGAAGCAGAGCTGAGTTCCTCTCCAGAGAGGTAATTAAACCACTTGTTGGGATCATCAGCGTGACATCCAGAGGCTAAATGCACCTCCCAGCAGAACGGCTGGAAACAGAGCACAACAACAGGCGATGTCTACAAGAGGACTTTGTTTGAGACTTCCACGGGTCGAGCTCTCATATGTTCTGTCCCCTCTCCAGTTTCTGAGAAGCACACAAAGTGCCAGTTCTCTGCTGGAACAGCTCATCTCATTGTGATTATGAAAACGAATGAACACGCAGAACTTGGAGCTCTCCGTGCTGACGGTAGCTCTTTGTGTGTAAACGTTAATAGAAAATACTTTAAAGGTGTCTTACTGTGTGTGCAGGCCCACAGAGAGGGAGCGCACAGAACGGCTGATCAAGACCCGTCTCAGGGAAATCATGATGCAGAAAGACCTGGAGAATGTCACCAGCAAGGAGGTGAGGACCAATGAGCCTTCAGAGCCTTCAGCTCTGTTAACATTTTGATTGGTCTGACGTTTATAATGCATCTAAAAACTACAGTCTTTAATGTCCTGATGCATGCCCTATAATCATCTAACCGTTTGTTACCGTCTTTAATAATAATACAAATTAATTTGACTTGCACTCTTGTTAAAATGTAAAAAAATAATTGAATTATCAACATGTTCAAGATGTTTTATTTTTCTTTCAGATCAGAACGGAGCTGGAGATGCAGATGGTGTGTAACCTGAGGGAGTTCAAAGAGTTCATAGACAACGAGATGATTGTCATCCTGGGACAGATGGACAGTCCCACAGAAATCTTTGACCATGTCTTTCTGGTAGGAATTCAGGAGCACTGTGAAGTTAAATCCAGCTTTTAATTATCACCACTGTCTAAAGGCAAGCTAATGTTTTTGCTCATTTCTGTCTGTGTTTTGAGCAAGATCCTGCAAAATCACATCAGACTGCACTGAATATTTTTAAATAGATGCCTCACTAGTTGTAACAACATACCTTATTCAGTAAATTACTTCAGCTAAACAAGACCGTAAAAATACTGCAGGCTGCTTGGTTTTTATAATGTTTAAAGATTGACACACAGAGATCACTATTCTATGTATTCTGCAATGCATTCTGGGTAAACGATGTAGACGAGTTGCTCCAGTGAAAACTCCGTTCAGCTTGAATGTTAATGTTGTACATTATCTGACGTTCAGCCGGAGCAGAAGAACAGAGAAATGACTCAACTGTCATGTTAGCTCCGAAGCTAATATATGTAGTGTTAGCTCCAGAGCTAATATATGTAGTGTT